GTTGTAAAGCACCGCAGCTAGCTTGTAAGCATTAGCAATAACGTTATATACCGTGTAAAAACGTTACCATATGAGAAGGCATAGCTGGTAGGTTAACCTCAGTTTGCTAATATTATAACCATCAAGTCTAGTTACAGCTTAGTGACATTGTTTGCACAGCTAATTGGTAATTTTCTGTCATGTGGTGTGTTTATAAGGCTTTGGGAGACATTGCAAGTAATGAGGGAGTGTGAAGATCTGAAGCAGTGAAGGCCAACTGTTATTAACCACCTCTACTGGACTGCAGCTTCCACTCCTAATGGAGATGCAGATGTGATGGAAGCCAAGTGGAAAAGCATGGTCAGCAGTGAATGTGATCTAAACTTTTGCTTGCTTCTCCTAGCATATGTATCAGGCCTCATGGAGTCTCTGAGAGAGGAATATTGCAGGTCACCACAGGCTCTATTAGAACGCAGCACAGTCTTCCACTACACCTACTCCTCTTTCCAGATCCCTCCAGCGGATCAACAAGATGAGGCTGTTGTTGTGTATCTAGCACAGCATTCACAATTTAACACACGTTAACAACACATTAGTGTGATACCCAGACTGAAAGATTGTTAAATGTTTTTAAATGGGTCAGATGGTATATTTTTCTTTCGGTAGTATATGTTTGGTGTACATCTACAATACTCATAGACGACCAAAACTCGTCGTATCGATTGAAACCCAAACATTCCATCAAATTTCTCCATCTTGTAAATACACTGCCAGTGTTTATCCTTTTCTGTCTCTGTATATTTTGGCAAGTTTTCGAATTTTGGCTTGCACTTCTGTAGCGAAATCTGAATTTCTTTTTTCACACCGGCTAAGATACATACGAGCTAAACACCCTCTGTCTCAGCCTGCTGCCACGCCCCAAACTCTCTCTATTGGCTGTGCGGAGGTATGCAAATACATAGGTTGACAGGCGGGTAGCACATCTTATTATTGCATTCGGGCCGATTGAAATGATTGGATGAACATTTTATGGTGTGTGTGTGTATATATATATATATATATATATATATTGCCTACCCTAGCTTTAATGTCAAGTACAAACGGTGCTGCTGTTACAATCTATCATAGTGCTAGGGTAAGTTGTAACAGCAGGATGGGTTGTAATACTAACAGAAAACATAGACAACAGTTTATATTTTGTATACACATTTATTTTTAAACACCAAACCCCTGCCCAGAAAATCTAATTTGAAGCATTTAATAATACAAATATTTATTCTAAAGCAAATGAGTTGGAAAAAAATGATTGAACACATATGTAAACATGGGCTAACAATGAAAAACAACATAGTAGATTGTGTGTGTGCATGTTAGTCAACATGCTCAAAATTGTGTCTGTTGTCAGCTTTTACACATGATACATTTTTGTGGGTCCATTAGAAGAACTGTAAATGAGGAAATGGTGTTAAAACTCTTCCTGCCTGCTCAGACATGATATTTCTAGTTGTTTATTTTTTATTAAGGTGAAAGTTTGATTTTTTAAAATTAAAATCAGAGAAAGGGTGAAAAATTATCTTGGAGAAAAATATATATGTTTGCATTATGAGGTAACCTCAGGGGGGGAAATGATTAAAAAATGTATGATATGGCACTTTTAGGGTATTCTTTAAAGTCATTCATACAACAATGTAAGGTTTGATACTTATCAGGACCAGTATGGAGAGACTAAATTTGATGAATGTATGGTCAGCATGGTAGCTCTTTATTACAATACCCACCCTATTGCCTCCAGCAAGGAGAACAGCATCTATTCAGTCATCGACAGTCCCTGGTACACATTATTTTAGTGATCTGATGGGCCCAGAGAGGCGTGAAGGACAGAGAAGCATCCTATAGGCAAACTCAATACACAGTACAGGCCACTCTCTAAAGTGGTGTCACAAAATAGTCTATTGACTACTGGTATATTGTAATTAACAAACAGGTTTATTTCACTAATGAAAACATACCTCAACCTGATGAGTATTGACGTTTGCAGACATGTAGTGATACAGTCATGACAATTTATAACCATTGTAAGAAACTATAGACTGCACCGACCCAGATTCCACTCCACAATAGATGTTTGATCATTCTTATTTCCCAAAATGGCTTAATTTTTATAGAGAAGAAGAAAGTCAACAGTTATGTTGTTTGCAGATCATTTGGGATGATTACATCTTGAGCAAATGGTGACCTATTGTAGAATGGGAGCGGGTGTGGGACACCAAGAACCCTCTCAGATAATTAGGTGTCAGAACTTCATTAACATACAGATCACAACTGTTACGACAGGAGCAACTTCATTTACATTAAGGGTAGTAAACTCTAACTGTATAAAAGGTTTGAGTTTAGGATGTTCGGGGTTCATTCCGACTGTTGAACCCAAGGTTCTACATGTACTTTGTCACTGCTATGCTGCAATAAACATCTTTATCGAGATCTTCAACGTCCTCTTCATTTTTTCTTACACCATTGTTTTAAAAGAACAGATAGTGAGGACAGTGAGCTTGATGTCTGTGAAAGTGAGGAAAAGTGGAAATTCTCAGGTTCTCAGGTTTGAGAAGTGGTAAAATATAAGGGTGCGGACCAGGGTTCATGCTTAAATTAATAAAATTAAATTGTATCGATTTATTTTAACCATATAAAGCCTACAGTGTCATATTTTATACACATATTTTTAAGGCCTCTAAATTATCAACATGATCAAAACGGTCTACATGCCTTCTATCATCTGATTGATAGTTTATAATTTTTAGCAAGTAGAAAGCCTTCTAGTATAATGCCTTTTTGCAGTGAAATCTTCACTGATTTAAAAAAAGTAAACATAAGAATAACTTTTAAATAGTAATATTTCAAGATGAATAATTACTGAACTAAGCCAAATTAGTTTTTTATGACGTATTATATGTCAGGCTTTACAGAATAAATTATATTTTTTTCTAAAGATGATCATGATGAGTAGTTTTACACTTTTCAACACCAAAATATGTGCAGTAGAAGACTTTATGTAGCATTGCACAAACATTAATACTCATTTGTCCATCTCAACAGCTAGAGGCTGCAGTTCCTTTATTCTCAGAGAAACAAAACTCAGCAGCTTGAGTCTGTCTCTCACACAAAGCTTTTGCACTCCTGACCTGGATCATAATGCACACGCATAGTAGAAAACACATGACATGTTGCTGATGATAATGAGATAAATAATTTTCTTGAAGTGATTTATATTTGAGTTTTGAATTCATGTCAGCCACTGGCTTTCGAAAATAGTTAATTAGACTTAAGAAAAGTGAAGGTTTGGTGTTGATGCAAGTACAAAGCAGGAGTGTAAAATGTATAGGGAAATTATGTGTCAACTGAATGAAGATGTGTTACTGCATCAACATCTCACTCCCTTACTAAACTCTGTAACCTGGCCCACAGAAGTAGGTTCCACAGTATGCATGGTGCTTCACAACATTGCTACAATGAAAAGTGCGACACCCCATGAAAATGATGACCATGTTTAAGAAGATTCCTTTTGCCATTAATTGTAATAATCCAGTAAGATTTTTTGTATGCACAAAAAGTCTGACAACAGCCAGTGCTCCACACAGAGATCTGATCTCACCATCATCCAATCCATCTGGAATTACTTGAAGAAACAGAAAAAAAACTGAGGCAGACTAAATCCAGAAGAACATCTCCAAGACACCTGAAGAAACCTACCTCCAAACCTACAGGCACTTGTGTAAAAATGCTGTAAAGTGAGGATGCTTTCAAAAATAATGTCATAAATAAATGTTTTATTAATTAACTTCTATTAACTAAATCAAATCAATATTTGGTGTGACCACCCTTTGCGTTTAAAACAGCTTTTGTCCTAGGTACACTAGTGCATAGTTTTTCAGGTAGCTGAATAGCTATAGGAAGATTTCTTCAAGTGTCTTAGAGATGTTGCCGCGGTTCTTCTAGATTTTAGTTTTTTTCTGTTTCTTCATGTAATCCCAGATGGACTGGATGATGGTGAGATCAAATCTCTGTGTGGAGCACTGGCTGTTGTCAGATTCCTTGTGCATACAAAAATCTCACTGGATTATTACAATAAATGGCAAAAGGAATGTTTGGAAAAGTAAACTGATATTTCCTACTGGCACACTAAAGCAAAAGATAGAATTAACCAGCTTAAAAGCATTTTTTTGTTGGTGAAAATACTAATGGCCTAAGACCTTTGCACAGTACTGTATGTATGTATGTGTGTGTGTCTCTCTCTCTCTCTCTCTCTCTCTATATATATATATATATATGTGTGTGTGTGTGTATGTGTATTGCGCACCCTGGAGTGCCCTCTGTTGGTAAGAAATCATAACACATTCCATCTCTACTTTTCAGAAATAAGCTTTGAATTAAGGACATGTTTTTTTTTTTTTTTACGTGTTAATATATTTATGTATTGTATTAACTAGTAATTTAAGATACTATCATGCTTGATTATGGCATGGACTACTAGACCTTCTTACATGCAATGCTTTGAGCGCCCTCCTTTGGCAAAGCATCATAGCACATTACACAAGCTACAGAATCATATTCATATCACGTTCAGTCTGAATCATTTGTATCTTTTAGGTGCAAGCCTAGAGCGATGGGCTGTTGATGAAAAGGGTTCTCTCTCTCCAGTGGTTATCATAGACTCGCTGGAATGCATGTGTTAAACGTGTGGCTGAGCGTCTGATTGGCCTATGACTGAACAGCTCTGTTTTGACTTATAAAAGTAAAGCTATTTTATATAGAGTGGACTTCAGCATTAAACTCCCCAAAGATGCTGCACGTCGGCTCAGACAATCAGTTGACTCGAGGCTGATTCCTTCTGAACGAATCATTTAGACTGGTATTGTGAAACGTTACATAGGTGTTCATTATAAAAGATTCTTTTCAAAAGAACGATTCGTTCATCAACTTAAGATAAACATCCGGTGCGCATGCGCAGACAGTGGGCAATTGGGCGCGCGCAACTGCGGGCATGTCTGTCTCGTGGATTTTAGACTGAACTGCTTTCACTGACATAGATGGTACGTGTGGTCATTCCATACCGATGGGTTAAAGTCTGTCGCTTTGTTGTCGTTTAAATAACTTGCACTATAATATTTTAAGTTGCATAGATAATTAGCTCACCGTCAGCCTCAACAAGAAAGGATTAAATTTGACCACAGGGAGGCAACAGGCAAGTTTAACTCGAAACAACATGACCCATACTTGAATATTGGTGGGGTTATGTGCAAACAACAACAACAGGAGATTGTAAGACACTGTTATCCATGAACACACAGACGTAGTCATGAGATATGTTGTGTTCCTCAATTGTAAGTCGCTTTGGATAAATGAGTTTGCTAAATTAATAAATGTAAATATGTGTAAGAGCTGGGATTGCACTGTTAGACATTTGAGTTGTGGATACATGTGAGTTCGCTTAGTCTGTTACAGTACGTTTACAGTAAGTTCATATGCATTAGATACAAGTGCTTGCAAATGTTTGGAAACTCCTTTGACACGTTGTTATAACTGTTCTGGCAGAGCTTTCAGTTTGGTATGTTTTTTTTTTTCTTATTTAGTGTAAGACTCAAGAACAAGAAAATAAGAGACTAGGTGTGAGAAAATATTTTTTGCTACTTACTATGCTCATTAGATTAATTGGATTTGCTTTGCTTCTTTACCGAATCACAATGTGCAGTTGAGTAAGGTAACACTTTTTAATCATTGACGTGTTGGAAACTGGACAAAGGTGAAAGCTTGCACACAGAAAATGTCAGCTTGAGCTACAAACACAATAGCTAAACACATAGCTGTTCTAAACACATAGCTGTTATCATTATGGAAGTGTCCTCTCAGCTCCCAGTAATAGTTAACACGGCACATGCCTTAGGATTTACTGGCTAGTGCAGTCGCTTGGTTGTTACCGGTCTTTGAACTCTGTTAAACTGCTAAGCCTTAATCTATTAATTTTGGGGATTGACATTCCTTCTGCATTTTATACTCCATTAAATAATTCAGCTTTATAGCATCAGTATTGTTGTGACATGGTGGAAGTGAATACATGCAATGAAAGGACTGAGGATGTTAAGGAGGACATGAGGACTGATGGCAGTGGACACACTGTGGAAAATGTGGCTCGAGAACCGGTCAGTCACGAAACCAAGGAAGACCTGGAAACCCAAACGCAGAAGACCAGAACCTGGATATGGTCCGTTGTTTATCTTTGTTTCTATGGCTTCATGGTGCAGCTGAAGCCTGGAGAGCCGTTTATCACACCATACCTGCTCAGTACAGAGAATAACTTCACTAGTGAACAGGTATGGGGCTATTCTACTTTTATTCTAATCTTTTTCTAGTTTGTGAAAAAATACACATTTAAAATATAAAATTGAGTGAGTTTATTCAAATGATACATCTTACTTTTTTCTTTTTTGTAAACACTAAAACTGTGTTTCCCAACTATAGTATGTATTTATTTTGTTGCCAATACCTAGTCGACACACACGACTGTGTAACTTGGTTTTCAATCTCTGAGACAGTTGCTGCTGGGGTCTGGCAAGCCATGTGAATGTGGTCAGAGTTCACACATTCCTCCAAAATGGGTCAGATCTGCTTTGAGAAAGGACTAAAACTATCATGCTGACTCATTATATGTAGAGTTATTAGATTACTTTTTTTGTAAACACTTGTAAATTCTCAAATTAATTTGTACTCACTGTACTGATCTTATCAGGCTCTAACTGGATGGTTTTTAAAATAAGGTTAGTACTGTAAAAGCCATCAAATTAATCGGCCACATGCAGAGAATATCTGTATGGGAATTTTCCATTTTAGGGACCATTCATGTTGGTTTTGGTTTGTTTATTCAGGCAATCTATTTAGCCTGATACTTTTAAATTGGTGTCAGATGTCTTTGATATATTAACAGTCATTACTCATGTCAATTAAATTGATAACTTAATTGAGTCAATTACAATTAAACTGGAAGTACAAAGGGCAGTGTTACACTGTAAAATTGTAATAGTGGTAATAAATGCAATCATACATTTACTTCTGTAATATGAATTATTAGATTTTTTATAGGGATGGGCATTTTTCAAAAATATCGTATTTGAATATTTGGCTCATAAAAAAAATGAATATTCGAATATTCGTTTATTTAAATGACGTTTAACGAAAAATATGTTATTTTTTAATAATCAGGCCTTTGTCACCATTTTTGAACAAGCTTATGACTAGGCATTATACACAACAATGCCCTACAACAGGGTTCCTCAAATCTTGTCCTGGAGGGCCAATGCGCTGCAGGGTTTAGCTCCAACACTGATCAACTCACCTGTGATTTTCTAATGATCCTGAAGACATTGATGCTCAGGTGTGTTTGATTAGGGTTAGATCTAAACCTTGCAGGAAAGTGGATCTCGTGGGCCAGATTTGAGGATCCCTGCCCTACAACAACGTTACGTTATATCTCAAGGTTTTCTTTTAGTTGAAGATGTGTGTAATATATATATATATATATGTATATCAGGGCTCCAGACTGCGACTAAAACGGTTAATACCAAAAATATTAATTTGCGAGTGAAGTTTCTGCTGAGGTCGCCACTGGCGACTATTTACATGTTATGACTTAAAAATTTGTTTTGTGTTTGCATCATTTGCCGTGTTCACGTATTGAGACGATGCGCATCACAGTTTTTAGTGGAAAAAAGAGTTTTAAACAGTCCTCATCTCTGCCGCACAGCGGCGCTGACACACACCTGATAAACGCAGCTCAGCTGTACACTGCGAGAGAGATCAACATGACGGAGACGTGCAAGTAAAAGTGCACAAAAGCAGAGTCTATATCGTGCACAACTTGAAGAAGCTACAACAGGTAAGGCTGTCAGCTGTGTGGATATTGGCAATATCTTTAACAATTCTCGTTTATAATCATTACTAATATCTTATCAAGATCTTATCTATATGCTGTGTTCTGTTAATGCGTGAACTTCATATTATTTGAAGCACACTTGCCGTCCATTAATCGCAAAAAGCTTTGTTACTTTTGAATAAACAAAGTATAAGCTTTAAAACTGTCAAATTCATAACGAAATTCAAACAATACATACAGATTTGGCGCTCTTTAATGTGGCAGGCGTGATCGCTTTAGCGCCTCAGTTCAAGCGGCAAGTGAACCCATTAACGTTGTATCTTTCTCTTTACTACTAAGTACATGATGAACATGAATTAACATCAACACGTAGCCTATTTTATAAGAAAGCCTACAGTACAACTTACTGAAATGCAAACCGATCCGTGCTGTGCCGTACCGTACTATGCCGTGCCGAGCCGAGTTGTACCATGCAGTGGAAAAGCGCCAATAGGATGCACTGAGGAGGAGCCCAAACTACACTCAGTGGCCAAGTGATGCTTGTTATGGTCCATGATATTTGTACAGATTCTGTGTCATGAACAATTCTTTGTGACTATATATTTCATGTTGGAACAGACGTTTAGTTCCCACTTTAAGTGAACCTTAGTTATCAGGTCATCTACAAGATCGATTAAAATGCTGATAAATTCAAGAAAAGATGAGACATAAACACATGAAAGTATGATTGAAATGTTAAAAAACACATTTATTCTGTGGCACCTAAAAAAAATAATTTGGCGCCTAAAAATTTTTCTTATAGGAGCCATTTTCCAATGGCTCCTTACTCAATTTTTTTGTTTGGAGCCCTGTATATATATTTTTATTTATTTATTTTTTTCAGAAATAATACAAGGAAAATGCTTTTTAAAAACATCTCAAAAGTCAAGGTAATTCAAATTCTAAATGACTGAAGGTATAACACCAGTACTGTAGACTATTAACAACTATAAATGTTCTATAAAAACAATGAACAGCAGCTTTCAGCCTGTCACCATGATGCAAAAATGAAATATCATACATACAGTAATAGTTCTTTACAGTTTTTAGTTTTTTCTATGAAAACATGGACGCATTTGACTGTTGTGCTCGCGTCTCTTGCAGCGTCTCATGCATGAAATGGCATTCTAAAAACGCGGCGCTCAAGTTAAAAGAACTTAAACTCAACTCCCATCTTCTTGCATTTTTTTTCCTATTCCACTGCCTGCATCGCATCTTTAGTCAACAGAAAAGCACATTCTGTGTGAATGGCACCTTATGGTCCTTCACAGAGCGCGTCACATGTGAGCGGTTAATCACGTACGCCGACATGCGGTTGGGTCATTATCTGTTATCATTAGCATATTGTCAAAGTGTCTAATTCTAACGTTTGGTAATATTTCTATTCAAAATCATGATTCCTCGTTTCATAAAATAAACTTTCATTGAGGGGTTGAAAACCTTTATACAATGAGACTTATGGTGTATTTAAGCTGTCTATTGCTATAGCAAAGCTTAACAACTCCCTACTGAAAAAAAAAACAAAACAACTAAAACCAGCCTAAGCTGGTTGGCTGCTTTGGCTGGTCTCCCAGGCTGGTGTTAAAGTGGTTTTATCTGGTCAGGGTGGTCTTAGCTGGTCAAGTTGGGAGGCCTGCTAAAAGACCAATCGAGCTTAAACCAGCTAAGACTAGACAACTAGCCTAGGCTGGTGTTTAGCTATTTTTTAGCTGTTTTTTACTGATTCAGCAGGTTTTAGCCATTTTTAGCTGGTTTTAACTTTTTTTTTTTTTTTGCTAAATAAGCTGGGTTTAGCTGCTTTCATGGTATCAACATGTTAGTAACATGCTAATCATGCTAGAAAAATGCTAGTAACTTGCTAATCATACTAACAACATACTAGTAACATTGTAATCATGTTAAAAACATGCTAGCAACATGATAATCATGTTAGCAACATGCTAATTATGCTAGAAACATACTATAACCATGCTAGCAACATGCTAATCATGTTAAAATCATGCTAACAAGGTAAATCATGTTAGCAATGTGCTAAATCATGCTAATTACATGCTATCTACATCTATCTAATCTATCTAAACTTCCAAACTTCAAGCTATTACAACTGCTTCAAACTTTCACAAAAGGCTTTTTCAAGCCAACTTCAAAGTTTGTTTGCGAACTTTACTCATCTAGTCTAGTTTTATGTTGATGTAATAATGTTATCCAATACAAAACATTCTCAAACACTAAACATGTCCTCAGATTATGAATGATGGGCCTTTAACAATGACATAAGAAAAACACATTTCAATATATTTCAAACTCCAAATATTCACTTTTAAATGGGCAAGAAATGTAGTTTAACATTAGCCTCTTGTCCACATTTTAATATTAACATTTATATCAAATATAACCTGGGATGCCATGTGTTCTCCATGTGCACTACGCTCATTTCAGTTGACAGTATATTAGGGGTTTTCATACTTGAATAAGTTAACCCTGGGCCATTTTAAACCCCTGGTAAACAGAGTCCTGGGTTAGCTTGTTTCACAATGCTCATACTTTACCTGGGATTAACAATTAAAGCTTGGTATTATTTATAATCTGCATTTCACACTGTGCGTTCCTAGTGTGGAGGTAAGTGCATTCTATTATGTTACTGATGTTACATTTATAAAGCGTTAACAGTTATCCCTGCTATAGTGCTCTTTGTCTACCCCATATCAGATGTAATAATGGCTTTCTGTGATTTTAATTTTATTTTTAATTTTTTTTACAGGTTACCAATGAAATTATCCCGGTCCTCTCATATTCCTATATGTCCGTTCTGGTGCCTGTGTTTCTGCTGACAGATTACCTACGCTACAAACCTGTGCTGATCCTTCAGAGTTTGAGTCATGTTTCCATTTGGCTCTTGCTGCTTTTGGGAACCTCATTACTGGAGATGCAGTTTATGGAGTTCTTTTATGGCATTACCATGGCTGCCCGTGTGGCGTACTCCTCATACATTTTCTCGCTAGTACCAGCAACTGTTTATCAGCGTGTAGCCAGCTACTCCCGCTCATCTGTGCTCATGGGAGTCTTCACAAGCTCTGTTCTTGGTCAGATATGTGTGTCACTAGGGGGCATATCATACAGGACGTTAAGTGCAGTCTCTCTGGGGCTTGTCACTTTTGGGCTGCTCTTGTCCTTCTGCCTGCCATGGCCCAAGCGTAGCTTGTTTTTCAACCAAGCCCGTCTGGACGAGGAAAGGAAGGAAGCAGCTCAATCGGAATTGGCCAGAATGAAGCCTGAAGAGAAGGATGGCAGTATGGCTGCACAAGGCAGTAACCACAAATCATCTTCCTGGACAAATTCAGTGTTTATTCAGATGTTGAAGGAGTTAAAGAATGTTGTGAAAGTACCTAGTTTAAGGCTTTGGAGCTTGTGGTGGGTGTTCAACTCCACTGGTTACTATTTAGTTGTATTTTATGTGCACATCCTGTGGAATGAAGTCTACCCTGCCACAGATAAAATACATGTCTACAATGGAGCAGTTGAATCTGCCTCTACATTATTAGGTAAGATGGATTATAGTGTGTTGTAGTCACCATATGTATATATATATATATATATATATATATATATATAAAACAATTAGTCAAACTTGATAAGCCATTAAATCATATTACTTGTGGTTGTATTTGTTTTTTCAGCCATTTTGACTAAAATCAGCTTCAGCTAGGCCTACTCATTTCTGCAGTTGGCCTGATGCTTGCTTCTATAGTGCTTGGCCCCTTAATTTATGCTTGCAGCTATATTTATTATTAAAATTTTATACAGTGGATACTCATACATACTGTACATTAACATGTTGTGATGTCTAATTCACTTTAGCAGACAAATTGGTTATATAGTATTAGATTTTAGTTTTTTGAAACATGAAAATAATTATCTGTTTATCTGTACTGGCCAGAGTTTCAATTTCACTATCAGGGTTCTCAGTGTATATGACAGGTCATTGTGACTAACAGTTGTTGTTGTTTTTTTAAAACTAGGATTTAATAGGTAACATTATACATGCTGGTTTACTATTTGGTGAGAACAAGCAAAGTTCATGTTCCTCAACATTTGAGCTTTGGCATGACGCATGCTTGTAAAGCATAACTCCTTATTCCTGGTCCAGGAAAGCCACTTTCCTGCAGAGTTTCTTCCAAGTAAACCCAAAGACCTTTATGACCTTTATGTTGATTTAGGTGCATTTAATCAGAGTTAGAGCTAAACTTTGCGGGGAAGTGGCTCTTCAGGAGTAGGAATGAAGAACCCTGGTGTAAATTACACAAAAGTAGAAAATATTTTATGCACAGATCTGAACTTTGTGAGAATAGATGTTTTTTTTCATTGGCATTGGATGAATATTACATGACAATCACACTTTTCGTGCTCCATAGGTGCAATCACGTCATTTGCAGCAGGATATGTGAAAATTCGATGGAATCTTTGGTCTGAGCTGGTGATTGGATTGATCACTGCGGCACAGGCCGGTCTACTGCTTCTCATGGGCATCACAGATAATATCTGGGTTTGCTATGTGGCATATGCCCTGTTCAGAGGCTTCTACCAATTCCTGGTGCCAATCGCTATGTGAGTTGTAGAAAACTATTTATTTTTTTATTTATTTTTATTATTATTTAAAGGATTTTTTTTTTAATGTGTTGTCTTTGTTAAATAAATGACATTACAAACGCTGGCACACATTGCATTCAATGTTTCAAAGTCACTGTTTTAAAAGTAGATATGTATGCACCTGTGAAAACATTCTTATTTCATGGAGAGCAAGAATTTTGCTTTGAAGTTCAAGTTTGTTGTAGTTTGCCACATGAGGAGCTTTTAACTAAAACTAAATACCACTAAGGAAATTAAACCATTTAATTAAAATAAACTTAAAAAAAAAAAAAAAAATATATATATATATATCTGTGCTCTGCATTTTGTTCTTTTAACTCATTTTGTATTTTTCTTCTCAGTTTCCAGATTGCCTCCTCTCTCACTAAAGAACTGTGTGCTTTAGTGTTTGGAGTAAACACTTTTCTTGGAACAGTCCTGAAAACGATCATCACTATCATTGTGGCAGATAAGAGGGGATTGGCTTTGAATGTTCAGTCTCAGGTGTGTAATTTTCTAGATTGACTTCAGTTAATAGTTACACAGAAAAACAGGACCAGTTATGGATACCACCAACTTGTTAATAGAAGAAGAAAGTACAGTAATGTTACAATGCAGAAAGTTTCCCTTTATATTATAACCTTACAATGCAGAAAGATTTTGGCCTGATTCTGTTTCTCTCTTTCTCTTGCAGTTTTTTGTTTATTTCTTTTACTTCACTCTGCTGACTGTGGTTTATCTGGGCTGTAGTGCCTTTATCATCACATGTCATTACCGCAATCAAAGAGCACAGGAGGAGACTACGGAAGTAGCTATAGCCACTGAACTTAGTCCCATGACAACGGCTGCTAGTGAAGGCACAACGGCACATAATGGAACCAGCATTAAGACATGAGATTCAAAGGAATTCTCCATCTCTTAAACTGTTACTTCAAAATCAGAACATTTTATTATTTTAAGTATGAGTAGCTTTTGTTTTATTATTTTTATGTTTGTCCTCTTGTTAGGAATAGCGCTAGATAAAAAAAAAAAAATCTCATCAAATTCTAGTTATACATTTTGTGGAAAGTAAATATAATGGTTGAGGTTGTCAGTAGGATGGAATGCCAATGGAAAATGTAGTCTTGGATCGAGATTTTGTCAGATCCTTGATTTCGTTTAGTTTCCTTTGTCATTTAATATGGTTGTCTTTGTTAGTGTGAACAAAGATAATGTAAAATAATTTTTGTAAGGAATGTTTGGAAGCCAAACATGGCAAGTTTGGCTTTCTAGCATCTGATAGGAATACTTTTTGACTTCATTGTACCGTGATTCCAGAAGTATTATTTGCAGATAATTATTAAAATGTAAACAATTACTACTGTACAACCGTTAGTTCCAGTTCTCTAAATTGATTTGCCAAGCGGTTATCCAGGAATGCTGATATTTGTTAAATGCCCTTAGAATATCTGATTGCTGTTCAGTGAAAGCTGGGTAGGGTTGTGGGATTTTTGCGTGGCGTGAGGACCATTTTTGTCAGTGTTTTCTTTCACTCCAGGATTGCTCGGAGTGGGGTTCTGCTCACCTGTAAGCAGGAGTAGGAAATCGCAGTGTTGGTAACATGGAATGATAACTGAATGTTACGAACAGGGATTGCTCCATAAACACTTAAGTCTGTGCATTGCTTAGTGACACACAAAGTTTGATGCTTTAGCACTTTTAGAAATATTTGCCATTGTTGAAGATAAAAATATGTAATTGACTATGTTTTGGTGGAAATGTAAGTTACTCAATATTAACTTTTTAGAACCTGTATAAAATAAATATCACACAAACAAGATTGTACACAAGACACTTGCTTAGTTCTACTGTATTTTGGAAATAAGTACTACTGTTAAGTTTTTTTTAATATTTCGTAGTGTGATGACATTAGGAGCTCCAGACCATGTTTAATTACAAATAAATTGTTACAAATTAATTTTTAAAGTAATTTTTCATTTGTATGGCATTTTGTAAAATTCGTATTGTTTCAAACCAGCATTACAGGAAAATATGCAGTAGCCCCTCACTGCAGAACAAAGATCCAGGGGGCGGGGTATATGTAAGGTGGGAGGAGTTGGATCTGGATCCAACCTCGTCCCCTGGATCTTGTGTTCTGCAGTGAGGACCATCTCAAAATATGCCTTAATATCCTATCCTACAGCACCCGGTGAGCAAAACAAAGGTGACTGTGGCAAAGAAAAAAAAATGTAATGAATGGGAAAAACAGACTTAAAGGTGATGTCTAAAGCCAAGTTCACATTACACGACTAAACGTTGGCAGATCACTTTGCTGTTCAGACTACATGACTTGCTGTCTGTCTTGAAGTTGTTGTGGTGTTCACACTACGTAAATGATCCGCAACAGGGGGTGACACACTACACAAGCTGACAACAACTCTGTCACCCAATGACTCTATCCGGTCCCCAAACCACATTTGGTCACAAAAACACACGCGAGAAGTAGAACGGGAATGACGCGAAGCAACAGGTGAAACAGGAGTTGTTTAATTGAAAATGGACAATCGGGAAGTCATGTAGTCTGAACAGCACAGCAATCTGCCGACTTTTAAAGTCGTGTAGTGTGAACTAGGCTATATTTAACATGCTAGATATTTGTTTGGCGTCGGGGACGCGTCAGCAACTCTCTTTGATACGTCACTGGGTAGTTCACACATAAAGATTGCCAAGTGCTGATCACCCACCGATTTTCTCCCGATCACAGCCAGACTTGTCCCTGCCCAAACTCATTGCCTTGCAAATCGGGCTTAAATCAGGCTTAAAATCCTGTAGTGTGAACTTGGCTTAATCTGAAGTTTAGTGCTCTCCATGTGAGATGTTCATCTTAAATTAAATTGTTGTTCAGCCAGTCTGTGTTCTGTAATGAGATATCGAATATTTTGTTTGTGATTGTGGTTGCTGAATGAATGTACTTACTCAGCCGCTGTTGTTTTAATAGAGAAACATTATTGCAATTTAGAATGATTGGAATTACTATTAAGAATTTCACTGTTAAAATATGTTTTTGCCCATTTTCATAATGTAGACAGAGAGTGCATATCTAATTTTTTTGATATTAATTTGAAATAGCCTAAAATAAATCAGTACACTAGATGAGGTAAACTTGTATGAGTCCACATTCTATTGATTTGTGCTTATTGGTGAAAGTGCAATACCAGAAATGTAAAAATAACAAAACACTTTTTTTCGATTATAATTGAGCAAAACATATTTTTTATCAGTTTAACTAGCACAATGAAAATGTGGCAAAAAGTTTTCATTGACTAAAACTGGATTAAAATGCTCCGATATTTAGTTGACTAAAACTTGACTAAACAAAGGACAAGGTTGACTAAATATTATGACTAAAAAGTACATTTAACACCAAGACTAAGACTAATTTAAAAATGGCGGACAAAGCTAACACTAGAGGGATGCAGGTAGTTGTAAATGAAATGCTGGCACTGAAGGTGATTCATGTTCCAATCACTTGATTGGTTGGTGATTGTTGCAGACCTGTCTAACACAGCATAACTATTTTCTCTCTCTCATAATGGTTGAGAGATAAAGCAAGTGTATGCCAGGCTGAAGTGAGGAGTCTAGATTTAAATTGAGAAGTTGAGCCCCAAAAATGGCCAGTATAGCAATGATAAAATTAATCTGATACAATCAAATTTTCTGGATTTTAACCAAAGCCTGTTTATGTAGACTGCTGCATGTTCTATCTTAAATCTCTTTGACTCACTTTATTTACTATTTATACAAGATTGCTGGTAGAAAGTCCAGCAGCACTGTGAGGTTTCTCTATTTATATCACTGTTTGTTATGCTTGTCTGTGGTTACAACAAATTTCTTTTTGTGTATTATAAGGGAGTCAGAAACAAAAACCTGTTGCTGAGACACAATGGTTGATCTTGCTTTGAATTTTCATTGGTGGAGCAAAATAGAGAGTAACTAGGAATATTGTTATATATACACTAACATTCAAACATTTGAGGTAGGTAAGACCAGTATCAAGTAATTGACTTTTTATTTTCCAAATAAATATTACAGAATTTGTTTATTAATCTAAGTGCCGTTCAAAATACAGTAAAAAATAAAAGTAATAATGTCGCTAATTTTTAGCAGTCACATTTGAACTGTAGAATACAGCAGGCTGTAAAATACAGAGAACTGCAACTCTTTAAAATCGTATTCAGGTTGTGTAAAAAACCAAAACAAATAATAAATAAATAAATAAAAATAAAATGTATTAATAATAGAATTGACATTTTTATGTAATTCCGGTGTAATAATCAAGGAACTTTGCTGCCGTACCATGGGTGCAGCAGGCGCAATGATATTACGCAGCGCTTGAAAATAGTCCCAGCTAGCTAACTTCCAATAAGCCTATTTTCAGGCGCTGCGTAATATCATTGCGCCTGCTGCAAACAAATAATAAATAAAGAAATAAATAAAAATAAAATTTATTAATAATAGAATTGACATATTTTTATGTAATTCCGGTGTAATAATCAAGGAACTTTGCTGCCGTACCATGGGT